CTTTGTCTTCTTAAACACTTGCATGATAAACCCACAGAGAGCTGCCATCCCACTATAGTTAGTTACCAATTTCTTTTCTTCCCAGCCCCTGAGATTTGGTTTCCCATTTAGCAGAGGTCAGTGGAGCCAAACTCTCCGTGGGGCTACCCTGGCTGTCATCAGGGAACTTGTGCCAGAGTAAAACCTGTCCCTCGAGTTGGATTGACTCAGTGGCAGCTGACACTTGTATTTTGGTTTCTTTAGACACTCTGGTGTCTGGCTCTGATCATGTCTGGTTTTGATGAGCCCCTGTGTCTGTACTGAACCCCTAAACCTCACCAGTCTCTAATGGTTTCAAGTTCCCACTTAGGAGCAATTGTTCCTGCTCACAGCAAAATCCAGGTCCTGGATATGCTACCATATATAAGAAGCACCTGATTCCAGTGAAAAATGTAGCACCCAGAGCTCAGTGCTGCTTTTGACTCAGGAGCAGAGACATAAATATTCTCCAGCCTTTACATGCTTTCTCCATTTTAACTCATGGCTTCATTAGACTAATTTGTTTCCAGGTTGGAGGATGAATAATGAGCCTCAGCCTGTGGATGCATAATTAAATTTTGATAGTGAATGTTTTTATCTAACCTTGTTTTCATTATTATACTCAGAACCTGAATTACAAGTTAGAGATTTAAGGCTGCAGGTTTGCCTTGACATTAAACCTGGACACCTTTGTGAGGTGTTACAGTGCTCTGCTGTCTCCCAGACCAATGCCCAGTGTTTCAGTCGGGTCTGATCATTAGGAATTTTAAGGGAAAGAGAAATAGTTAATGACAAAATAGCTTTACCCCTGCCACAGTCAGTACAATACACAATCCCTGGCCTGTGTGGGGTCTGTACACTGATAACTGCTCCACAGCTGGATGGCACATCCCAACAGCAAAGGTCATGTGGAGTATCTTGTTGGAACACCTTGGTGGGACACACAGTCCTGCTGCATTTCCTAAAGTGGTATCTAAGCTCCATCTGGCTTTTTTGGGTCCCCCCAGATATAGTTGGCTTTGTTTGCACAATTATAAGATAACTCCTGCAGATTCCCCAAACTGTCCCTTTTCCCCTGTGCCTTCCAGGTGCCTCCTTGGCATTACTTGGCCATTAAGGTCACCCTGCCCTGGGTCTCTCCACTCCCAGCCTTCCCATTGTTCTTTTCAGCACTGCAGAGTTTCCATCAGGTTTTTCCACTAATCTTTGTGGCCTCTCCCTGCTCCTACCATTGTCAAGAGGGTTTTCCATATTTCCCTGTCTATAGAGGTGGTACCTAAAGGATGCTCTCTGGGCTAAGGTAGGGAGGGAACAGAGCACATGTCGCACCCTCTGCTCCTGCTCCGGATGGGAGCTGAAGAGCTGCGGTAGCAGGCAAGGAGCCCAAGCAGGTACTTAGTACAAATGTTAATAGCATCATTGTTTATATTGTAGGATTGGAAAGGGTCTCCTGGGTCATCTGGGGCATTGCCCTTCAGTAACTCAGTCCGTACTCAAACTATCCCAAGGGTATTTTTAGTCGATTCATGATTCCTTTTAGGAATTTGGCCCAACGACCTCCGTCAGCAAATGATTCTTTTGGCTAATTGACTTCACTTTCTGCATGCCCTGTTTTAATACTGCCTTTAAAGTTTGAGGCTTTTTCTTCCTCTCAGAGTGTCATCCACTGCTCAATTTCAGCAGATTTCTTTTCCTATTCCTACTTTTTTATCAGTGTTTTTATCAGCATTACAGTTGATTCCAGGGTGTCTGCTGATGAAGCCCCCTCACCGATGAGGCCCCCACATTGACCAAGCCCTCTTGCCTGCAGGGCTGAGCCCCTCTGTGCATGGTGAGATGGTCTCCACCAGGAGATGCTGGGCACAGACTAGGCAAGGTGACAAGGGTGGGTGATGACTCAAAGGTCACCTTTACCCCTGTAAAGCTCCAGCAGCAGCACTGGGAGCAGTCATGTGAACAGGTTGCCTCTCAGCTCCCATCATGCTGGCTCCAACTGAGCAGATGTTTGAAGGGTCCTCATTTTCCTGGATGTCTTCAACTTTAACTACTATCAGAATAACAGCAGAGGGTGAAGGAAAGGAGAAAAAGAGAAACAGTGGGGGTTTTAGCCAGTTTTTTCTTGGTCATTGGTATTCTTCTACTTTGATCCACTAGTCTGTGATGTCATCACTGTGTTATTGTTTGCAACAGAGCCAATTCTGAAGCATTGTCATCAGGAGTTTTGGTTTTGAGACAAGGTTGTGGGAAAGTCAAGGGGCTGCTACCAATACACATCACCCACTTTAAGAGCTCACATGCCAACACTCCTCCTCACTGCCCAGGATCACTGTCCCTACAGACCCACATGCTGTTGGACTGAGTGGTTGGTCTCTAATTAGCTTCATCAAGAATGAGCTGAAGTTAAACACAAAGCTTTTGGAAATCTGACTTGATGCATTCACTGTGTGTTATAGAGCAGCACATGCACAGAGGTGGGACCTCCAACATGGGGTAATGTGGGGTAAGAACACTTCTACTGGCATTGGCCCCTCATTGACCTGTTCTTCACCCGTTTCCCTTTCCTTCTTTTCCAGTTTTGGTGAAGGGGCAACAATTCACATCTTCCTGTGCGTGCACAGCTTTGATTCAGCTGTGAACTCAGCAGAGGGTTTCCCTGGGAATGGCTCTGTGTGTGCAACTTTTCTGTAGGAAGAGGCAAGGAAGGAGGGAACCTGGAACAGAGAACCTGAGCTAACTGGGCAGGTTGGAGCTTGAATGACCTACATGAATCCTTGGCATCAGCCAGGCAGAGTTTCTTTGAAATAAATTATGCAATAGTGCAAGCTTTCGAAGACTCTTTTTTTTCCCCAGGAAAACTACATTTTAGAGAAAAAATAACTGTAAACCGAAGATGGCCTGATTTGATGAAGTCAGCAAAGCTGCAGCCAGGATGAAGACCATGCTCTCCACATCAGTCTCCAGTTCATCATCAGGGCCAGCTGGTAAATATTTGCTTCTTCTAGTGATGAGCTGAAACGTTCCTTCATTCCCACAATACTATTACCTTTGCAAATTACTTTTATTCTAGCGAAAAGCAAAAACCAAAATCCTGACTGTTTTTAATTGAAAACAAAGGTGAAAAAAAGGAGAAGGCTTTTACAATAACAAAAGTAAGGACTGTAGTTTAAGTAAGTACTTTTCTAATATTCTCCCAAATAGACTGATACTTAGAAAACTCTGCTAAGAGAGTATTTTTGCGTAACTCTGTGTGTCTGGCAAATTGATCAAACCAACTGGATTCACAGGGCAAAGGTGAAGTGGTCTTTATTGTTCTCCTTCTCCAGCAAAACCCAAAGATTCTGCTGTGCCCTGTGATACAATCATGCTTTGGGGTGTGTGCACAGGACTAGGCAGCCCAAGGCAAGCTAAGGGGTGCACAGGTAGACCTAAGTGGTTCAAGCAACCAAGTGGTGCAGCACCAGGACAGAGCTCACAGAGGTCATGGGACCTCCATGCTTGGGGAATGCTCAGCTCCACAAGGTCATGGTCAGCCTGGATTCACTTTGAACTTGGCCTTGCCTGGAGCAGAGGTTTGCCAAGAGCCCTTCAGACACAGCTTCCAACCCCCATGTTTCTGGAATACTGTGATGCTTCAGTGCCCTTGTCCCTGCACGGGCTCTTTGTGGGCCACCAGTGGGTCTCTGCAGATGCCCCCCATGGCATTTGGCCTCCAAAGAGGGCTGGACTCCCACCAGGGCAGCTCTCCCCACCCAGCACAAACTCCCTCCTCCTGCACTCACTGAGTCCCACTTCTCAAAGCACCTCAAATTTTTCTTGAGAAGGAAGGGAGTATTAAAAGCTTTCCCAAATTATATGGAGGCCTTTGTTATTTTAAGAGACTTTCATTCCCCCTTTTTCCATCTGGCTTTGTTACCTGATGCTCAAGGAATGCATTTTCTCCTCTATTAAATGTTTTAACCGCATACAAGTTCCATCTTAATGTTAGCATCTTTAATAGTAGAATATTACCATATTAATTGCTATTGTGAACCAGAAGATACTTATATCATCCAGGCTTTCATTACCGTCACGGAGGGATTTTTCCTACTGAGTCAAAAGTGACCACTTTCCTTAATCCCCTGTTTAAAAGCCCTGCTATTCCTCCTGACATGCCTAGGACGAGGGTGGGCAGCGTTTTCCCAGGGACAAACTTGGAATTAAATGCATTAATTTCCCAAGGAACGGAAACCCCTTCCCAACCTGCTGCGGGTTTCTCGGCAGTCGGGTGGTGGGGCAGTTAGTTTTTAAGCAATTAAGGGACAGCCACCCCCACACACAACCCCGGGCCTCCCCTACCCGTGGCGGGGAAGGGAGGACAAGGGGGAATTAGC